AAGAGCATGCAGAGACCCAGAGCAAGAGCCAGCATTGGCGGAATGCTCACACAGCATTCACAAAGCCTTGGTTGGGTGTGACCCCAAGCATCACACACACCGGGTGTGGTAGCACACATTTGTATGCCAAGCCTGCGGGATGTGGAGGCATGAGGATCGAAATCTCAAGATCATCCTCAGCTACACAAGGAGTTTAAGGCCAGCCTGGGCTGTGAGATCTGGCATGCATGAGGTGGGACAGTCCCTCTCGGCCTCCACCGCCCACTTGCCTGCTCTTGCATGTATTCATACAGTGCAGGCACATGCCACTCGACACTTCCATCCACCACTTTTCGAAGCTGAAGACCGTAGTGAGTGGGCTCCAACTCTCTCATCTGCAAAGAAAATGATTGGTTACTCAGAGTCCAATTGCTCTGTGCTAAAATCACCAGCAGCGCTCAGGAGGCTCACGACAGACCACCGTCAAAGTCTCAAAAGGCAACTGCATATAATTTGCTCAGTCTGAAACTACAGAAAAGCTTAAATTTTAGATGTGCAAACAAGAAAAAGAAGGGTCAAAACCCACTGTTAAATTTTCCTCTCATACCGCCATCACTAAGTGTAAGGGTCACTGTTAGGAAGTCAAGGAGCTATATTTCATCACACCACCCATCTCACTGTGGATGGCCAACTCTTCCCCATGCTGGTTGCTAACAGTAAGTTAAAAATCTATGTGAAAGTAGAGAGATTTATAAGATGTGTTTAAGTTCTACAGACTTCAGAATTGGAAACTTTGAAAGGAAAACATGTAAGTTCAAATATAGTCTTCTCTCTCTCTCTCTCTCTCTCTCTCTCTCTCTCTCTCTCTGTGTGTGTGTGTGTGTGTGTGTGTGTGTGAGTGTGTGTGTGTGTAACACACACTTGCATCCTTTCTTTCTTCCCCACACTCAGAACAGCAGAGCATTTATCTCAGGCCTGTACTCCAGAAAGGATTAGCTGACCTCCTGCCTCTGTGACACCTTTTAACACTCAGAAAATTGGTTACTGTGGCTGTTTTTATCACCTATCCAGGCTTTCCTCAAGAAAGGGCTTACACACTTGGGTGGAGGGGCAGTTAAGTTCATAAAGTTATAACTGCACACACAAGTGTACAGGACACTAAAGCTTCCATCAAGTACAAAAGAGAATTAAAATACTCTTCATGGCAAACTCTACATGCCTCTTGGTCACTTTCCTATTCTTTTAGCTCCACTCTGCCACCTGGTGGTCTAAAAGTATCAGGCCTGCCAGTGCCGAATGGATTTACCCTATACTTCCTCTTCACACACTGGGAATAAAAAAGTCCAGTTGGAAGAATGAATAACCACCAACTCATACAAGTGCCCATGGAGCAGCTGTGAACGGTAGTGAGTCACGTACATAATAGCACACAGGCCACTTTTCTAAGCAACGTGAACAGAAACCCATGTCACAGTGACTCTAGATACAGATTTAAAATGTATGTGGAATAATTCAGGGTCTTCCTAAGGGCTTATTTTTCTGAGTGGTGGAGAGTTAACTTACTAGAAAATGTGAGTATGTTCCCCTGTGTGGGAAGTTGGGTCTTAAACACCCCACAAAACCAGAAGCCAGAGGAGTGCATTAATGATCCCCTCTATTCAGAAGTATTTGTTTCTAGAGCAAAATCCATCACCTTGCATGCCAATGTCAGTACATCTTCCACTCTGTGCTCGGGCTTGATGACCACAGTAACTCCCTCATTATCCTGGAAGTGAACGTACATCTGGATTTCCCATGCGTTGTCTCGGAGAGCGCTGTCTACTGTGGAGCCGTACAGATGCAGCTCATGGACCTGTGTTAGGTGAGAAAACGTAGATGAGTCGGATAAGCAAAAATAGAAACCCCAAGGGGGGAAACGGTCCCCTAATGTAAGTAGTTGTTACCAGAAGCTTTGCTCATGCCCCCCCCCCACACACACACAGGCCTCTCACACCCCTCCGCGGCAGCCTTTGGCTGACACCAATCTGACAGCCTTTGGCTCCTCACTCTCTCTACACAGACGGAGCCGAAGCTCAGGAGGGGAGACTCCTTCCACTCTGCCTCTGGGGCAGCTCGGAACAGCGCACTCTCACTGCCGTAGAGTCCTGGTGGAGAAGATGTACTGGGACAGTGATTGGCACCTGTTAATCTGTGCCCTAGCCCAGGTCTAAACTCAACTCTAAGTGTGACCCTCCTTTCTCCTGTTTCAACTTTTAAAATCTAACTGCTAATAAAGAGGACATCTTCTCTCTGTCTTCCTGCTACGTCGGACATGCCCGCTCTGTCAGGAAATCATCTGCCCATGTACCACCTTCAGGAGCTTTTCCCGAAACATTGTCCTGAAGGTCATCACTGCTGCCAGTCACTTCATGCAAACCCACACTGCTCAGATTGATGACAAGCACGGCGACTATGCGCTCAGTAACTCAAGTATGTCCTCCAGCTAGATCCTTGAAGGGACACTATGGTGAACCAAACCCCAATGCTACTTAACCAGACAACAGTGGCCCGGGGGAGAAATGGTTAATTTAGATGAGTATGTTGGTATGTGCCTTTAATCCCAGCAGAGACTGGGAGATCCCCGAGTTTGAGACAAGATCTCAGTCTGAGCCTCATCTATAAAGTGAATTCTAGGCTGGGCAGGGCTACTTAGTGAGGCCCTGTCTCAAAACAAACAAAGTTCAATTTACTAAGCCTCAGTTTACCATTTTGCAAAAGGAAGCATTATTCTCATTGCTGATATTTAAAAATAACAAGACATGCTCTTAGGAGCAAAAGAGCCCATATACATGAAGATGTCTTGTAGGCTGGAAAGCATGTACATATAAATTCAGTGTCCTCACATCGCTACATCCAATTCAAACCTCACAGCAATCACATGGATGGATCGTTTTACTGTTAATTCCATGCATTTCTTTAAACACAAAGTAAACTGCACAAAGCCAAACTCGGTATAATAAAGACATTGCAAAGAACAGCCCTGGGCAGAAAAGGGGAAGAGCCCACCTTTCTCTGTTGTCTGTTTGGAAATGTGATGCTCAATTCTGACGTGGTATAACTGAATCTGTCATAGATCTGTCAACATCAGCACATTTTCCTAGAAAGATGGCCATCGCCAGAACTGAAGTCCCCCCACATGCCAAGGGGAAAAGAAAAGAGACAGAAACAAATGCCTTGAGCCTAGGATGCCAGGTGGGCACAGGGATACTCTCTGCTGAGGGGGCCTGTCACATGGGTAAGGGCTCTCTCTGGCTCATTCTCCCAGACACTTCCATCACTTGGGAGGGTTTCTACCCCAGGGACTGCCCTAATGGTGCAGGCTCTACTCTTAAACAGTGCCCATTGAAAAGTAAACCAGAGAGCCCAGCAGAGGTCGCTGTGGAGTAAGAAACTCAAAAGGAAGGCCACTACATAGTAACTTCTGGCTGTCCTTCAAGAAGAGAACAGAATGGACGGGTGGGCAGAGACTTGGGGAAATTCAAATCCATGCCACACCATGGCTCTCTGCTCTTTCTCATCCCTGGCTGTCCATCATAGGGAGATTCTGTCACATAAAATAAAACCCTGCCAGTTCACTCACAACAGCCCCTCTCAGGTGGGCACCCATATGACTCCCTACTTTCCAGGTGAAAAAAATGGGCGCAGAAGTTCTAAAAAACTTTCTTAAGCTTACATGACTAGTACCCTGTAGTAAGAAGGGCCCTGACTCCCCGAAGCCTGGGTGAGTCAGGTCTCCCCCACAACACCAAGGACATGGAAACCTGACAATTGACTCCTCCCCACAATGGACATGACTTCACGGCCCAGATTCATTTCCTAATCCTACTACACAAACTGTACCTTAGTTCATCAAACTATTTCAAGGGGCCGTTCCATAAAAAGCAAGGCACTCCCCTGCCTCTACATTTCTGCTCATTTCAATTGCTTTCCTCTGTCCTTCTGTGCCCCCTGGCTCTAGTGCGGGAATCACTATTCTTGACATAGCAAAACTCAGCTCACACGAAGGTTAGCTTTGGGTTCGCCCACTTGGAGTGGCAAGGTGAATGATAGTATGGTCTTTGTTTCCTCATTCACAGACTCTTCTAGCGCTTAACACGGTGTCTCACCTCCAGACTGCACCCAGTACCTGGGTAATGAAGAGGTGGATGCCACGAGAGACTCACGTTCAACCGATGTGGAAGGTCAAGGCTCTCCATTGGCATCTGATTCAAATTCACCTTTCCAGTGTCAGGATCTTAATAGTCCCAACTTTCAGGGAGACAAATTACCACCTTCTTAAAAGAAGGTAAGTCTTGAACAAGAGAAATGTGTGAAAATAAATGGAGGGACGGGAGAAGGGACAATAGAAACAACGTCATTGTGTTCAATGAAGTACAGCTTTGAACTTACACCTGCGTGGAGGAGCCTTGTCCTATGCCCACACTGTTCACAGAAGGTGCCTCTCAAATCCAGGCTGTCAGTGACCTAGAGCCTCTCAAGAGACCTCCCACAATGACAAATTAGATGTGCTTCTTGCTGTGCCCCCTGCCACATACACATGTATGCACACACAAATGTATACACATATGTACACATACATGTACATACACACATGTACACACACACACACACACACACACACACACACACACACACACTATGGGAAAAGAGAAACCTGGCTTTTCAAAGGAATCAAAGAATGTAGAATGAATGAATTAGAACCAGGAAAAAAGAAGGTCTACTTGGTGAAATCAGATCTTCTGAGTTATTTTAAGCTTTGCCCTTTTGGAGAGAAAGCTTGTGCTGATTTCCTCAGGAAGGGCCAGTGTCATCCAAGCTGAAAACATACATGCTTTGGTTTCAATGAGCCAGATAAAACAATCTCCTACCTCCTTTTCATAAAAAGAGACAGAAAACCCTGAAACTGAACACACACACAAAGGAGACATCTGGACATTCCTTCCAGAGGTGCTTTTTAAAGCACTCACGCAGAGCGCCATCATCGGCCAGCTGCGGCAAGAGGATAGCGTAGCCTACTTGCTCTCTCCTGCTCTAACCTGCCTCCTGCAGCCAAAAGATCATTTCCAAAGCCCTGTTCAAAGTTCTCAGTCCCTGGAGAACACAAAGGAAAGAAGCAGAACTGGACAGGACCAGATTTTTGTCTTGCTAACCTTAGGCAGCCTGGTGACCTACTGCCTCAACACTTCCCTTAAAAGTGACCACCACAAGCACCAGCTTCATGAGGACACCCCATGAGGAATAACATGAGATGCTCTGCACACTTTCCCCAGTCAGCTCTGACGGTGCCCGGAGCACCATACCCGCACAATCCCCACAGTTCAGGGGGTAACCACTGTCCAGAACTGAATGAGAATTATTCCTTGTTCCGAAACCTAGAGGAACCTGGAGTGGAGTGTAATGCTGTCCCCTCACAGTCCAATTCCTGCTGGACATCTAGAAACTGGGAGCATCAGTGAACTCGAGGGCCCATCCACAACATGCTACCTTAGCATTTGCAAATCGAGCTAGCTCTCCTGGGAGAGCACTTTCTACAGAAGTGATATTATTATTATTATTATTATTATTATTATTATTATTATTATATCATCATCATCATCATTATCATCTAATGGCCCTGAAGCCACATGTCAAATTACTTATGCTCAGTGTGTCACCCAGAGAGAGAATGGTAACCCTGTGCATTCTCACAGCAGCTGCTTTTGGATCCAATGGCTTGTAATTACTGCCTGGATCACTGAAGGGACGTGAGTAGCAAAATCACAGTGTCTGTCTGTCACAAGCGGGCCCACAACACCCCAGTCCCTGATAAAAGGAGAGTCTGTTTATTAGCAAGGGAGATGAAGGGACAGCACAAAAGAAATGAGCTGCTCTGGCTTTTCTTGACAACTCCATATCGTGGAGGATGCACCGTTTACTTCCTCCCAGGGCAGATGGCCAGACATCAGCGCTTAGAAGGGGGAAGACAAAGGCCTGACTGGCCAGCCACGTGTACGGAAAGAGACCGACACAGATATGCTCTACAGATGCACATGTGCATGTGCTGTGGAAGCTTCCAGAGTAGTATCCTATTTACACAGATTATGCTGTGGTAAACAGTTGGTTGTTTCATTCACATTTTCCATTCCAGAAACTACCATCAGGGTCGTCGT